TCCTTTTTAGAAATATATTATATGGCCTACATTGTATTCCTTTAAAAATATTGTGAGAATGTCATTAATGTTCTTACCTTCTTTCCCCCAGTGTGTGGACAGCCTAATCTTGGACATCCTTGTACTAAGGCACAGGTTTTGAACTAGCTTCCTAGTCTAGACCCATTCTTCAAGCCAGGGTACCGTGGCCCTCTGAATGTCTGAAGTTCTAAAGTGAGATGGTAGTATATAAATGAAGGTAGGTATGTGAGCAGCTGGATAGGAGAATTCTCTTAGAAAATCAGAGATTTGGACTCTTTCAGAGGGTTCAAGTTGAGTGGCAGCCTTCATCCCCCCCCCCCCCCCAACACACACACTGTTTCCTGTGCTTGTGATTTGCTTAGAAGGCAGAGTATGCAGCTGCTACAACAAGCAAATGTGAGGACCGGGAACCCCAGACATCCTGGAGGTGACTGGAGAACTCACAACCCCCAGCAAAGCCTGGGGCAGTCTGAGGGATTCCCCTGGGAGACTTAGACTCATTTTGTGGCTTAAGTGACCAATCATTCAACTAGACAGAGCCACTGACAGGGTCCGAGTTTACCTGTGCCACTGAGCTGCAGAGGGAATGATTGTCCAAGTCTCCAACAGAGTCAGACCTCAGTTGGGAGAAACTAGACGAACTCACTGCCTGGCTTCTTGTAGAATTCTGCCCATGTCTGCAGCTTGGGACTTGTCACAATCAGCCCAGAGTGCTGGCCTGGAAGAATGTGTCCAGACGCAGTGACTTTGACCATGAAGCCATTCAGTACAGGTGGACTCAGCATTTGCTTGCTGGCCAAACAGAGGAGGGACCTTGACCATTCCTCCAAGCTGCTAAATTTGCTGATACAATTTCCTTGTCATTTCTTACCCGACTCCATTCAGGCCAATGTTGTGCAAAGTTTGCCTCCTGAGCACGCCCAAATGCATCCTTTGGGGAAAGAATGCATGGGAAACAGCTGGGATGCTCCCAGTGGAACATAAAGCTCAAGGTTCCTAAGCCTTCCCCATGACACATCACAACCATCTCCTAGGTCTGCCTGGCCAGAACATCACCCTTCAGGCTACGCCCCTCTCTGGAAGCCCAGGAAGCAGAAAAGAAATCAATACATCAGAGGGTTGGGGCTAAGGTTTTTCAAATCACTTAATGAAAAACCTTAATCCAAGAAGCTTTTTTCTTTAAGATTTACCCCTTCATCACTCTGGAGTACTTAATCCTGAGGAAGCAGAAGTGGCCACCCAAGCAAAAGCCCTTCAGGACCCAGTCAGAGTACAGTGATGCACAGAGTGGAAAGAGACAGCACTACAGAGGGTAAGGGTGGATGGAGGGCCTTCTGAACCTGTGTAGGCAAAACAACCCCTGAAAATCCCAGAAGAAGGGGCTAGAGAGATGGCTAAGTAGTTAAGAGCGCTTGCTGCTCTTCCAGAAGTCCCAAGTTCTCGATTCCTAGCACTCACATGGCAGTTCAAAACTGCCTGTAATTCCAGTTTCAGGGGGTTCTAGGCCTCTGGCCTTTGGCCTCCTAGGGTACTACTATTACTACTATTACTACTACTACTACTACTACTACTACTACTACTACTACTACTACTACTACTATAAAACACACACACACACACACACACACACACACACACACACACACACACACACACACTAAAAGTAAATCTAAAAGAAAAGAAAAAGAAAACCCAGGAAGAAGCTCTTTAGTCTTAGGCCAGTGAGACTGCAGCACTTAAGGGGATCATTGGACCATTCTGGTTTCTAGCAATAGCTTCTCTGTCCTGGGATCAGAGCAAGCCAAGGCCTCTTCTGAAGTTTAGAGATGCTGTCATGGCTGTGTGTGTGAGACTATGTATGTGTGATGTCTTTCCTAAGAGCAGTAAGTAAAGGAAGGGGTCTAGTCTTTACTTCTTTACTCAGTTTCGAGGGCCAGCAAGGGTGCTCAGAGGTAGGAGGTGCTCATTCATGCATTCACATGTACCTGTGTAAACAAGCACATTTCTGGATAGGTGTATGCATATACACAGGTCTCTGGCCCCTTTTGGAGGCTTAGTGTAACACTTGATTTGAGTTGAGAATAAAGACGAAACCTCAAGGGACACGTGCTCTAAAAATCTCACATTACAGGCTGAGGGAGCAAATGTCCCAAGACAGGATCCCATGTCCCATGGGGCACAGAGAAGCATGGGGTATGCAGTCTCTATTTCAGACTCCTCAACTACCTCACGGTGTCTAGCTTGTCTTCTGTGCAAAGCTGCATCACAGCTCTCACTGTGGAGGTGTTTCTCAGGGAGTTATACCATGATCTCCATGCAGGCGATGCAGAGAGGTACCTAAGGAATTTGGAAAGATCAAGAGCCCTGCTGGTACTTCTAGGCCTCTTAGTTCAGAACAGGATGAGAGAGCCAGATATCAGCACCCGTTAAATCCTCCCAGGAGGATTTAACTCCATGTTGGTTTTTGCAAAGAAGAGTCCTCACAGTAAGTATGCACACCAGAATTACATGCAAGTTGGTGCTTTGTACAAATGCCAACCTCTGGCCCCCATCCCAGACCTTGGACCCAGCACTGGTGCCTTCCCTGACTTCCTATTTGTCTTGCACAGGGTGTACTGAGAACCAACACCCCAGTATGCAGTTCAAACATGTAACCCTGGGAAGTATAAACACCTATGCTCTGCACATCCCTGTGGTCCTATCCTGTCCACCTCAGGCCTGAGCCAAAGCTGCATTCTCCTGCCATGCTTTGTCTATAGCCCCTCTGTCAGATGCATTCAGTCACTTCCAGGTGCTTTTATGAACAGCAGCTCAGGTCTCAGCTGTGTGGCTGTCCACTTGCAGCACCCTCCTACCCGGTCTGCACCGACCTGTGAATCAGGATCCTGGGTTTCTAGTCTGGGACTCCAGACACGTGTTCCATGCCTACTCCCTCACTGGAACTAGCCACTAGGCTCAGGCAAATGGAGTCAGCTGGGACATGAGGTGATCAGATGCACTTCATATTGCCAGTGTTTCCCTGCCCATATAGTGGTGCCTCAGGTGTGCCTGTATCCCAAAGTAGGGAAATGGTCCTATAAATATAAAATCTGCCTCTTTCTGTCAACAGTTTTTTTTTAAAAGATTTATTTTTATTTTACATATGTGAGTGTCTGTCTACATGTATGTCTGTGCACCATGTGCATGCAATGCCCCAAGAGGCCAGAAGAGGGCATTGGATCATCTGGAACTGGAGTTACAGATGACTGTGAGCCACTATATGGATGCTGGGAACTTAACTCAGGCCCCCTGGGAGAGCAGCCAGTGCTCTTTAACTGCTGAGCCATCTCTCTAGCCCCATGCTTATAGTTTTGATATAGCCAAGACAGCTGTGGAGAAAGTAGACCCACAGGGCACACAAGTACCCAAGGAGGCCTCAGTTGTTCAGTAGCATGCAGTAAGAGCTCTTGGTGCCCTCATTTGAACGTAGCAGGTGCAGTGTCCCTTAGGTCAAGCACATAGTCCCCATGGTGTCTCCTGCTCAGCACTTGGGCTGTTAGTGTTCCTCTGAACACCCCCTACTTTGAGAATTGGGAGTCACTGCATGACATTCCCAAGACTAGATGCAGTGAAATGACTTCAGAGCACCCCCACCTCAGTGATTTGTTTGGCTTTCTGGATGTTTGACAATAGAACATAGGACAAGGTGATGGGAATGGGTGTGTGTATGTGTGTGTGTGTGTGTGTGTGTGTGTGTGTGTGTGTGTGTGTGTGTGTGTGTGGCGGGGATGGGGGTGTTAAGCTTCCTGGGAGAAATTATTGTAGATTTTTACAGAGAATTGTAAGCTAAAAGCTGTCATTACCATTTCTCTCTTCCCCAGAGCTTTCTGGGTGCAAAGTCTAGGAAAGACCTGGTATTGCCCACAAGTTCTTGGAATGTGTTTAAATCCACATTCGTTTACCTCCTCCTCTGCCCTCCATGTATGTTGTCTGTTAAGGGACTCTCTTCATCACACAAAGAACAATGGAAGTTGGGTGTTGGATTCAAATAAATATTTAATTCATGAAAATAATCTTATATGTTCCAAAACACACTTTAAAGCTATTTTTGTTCTCCAGAAAGGGCCCATTACAGGTAAATTACACAGCTTACTACTTCAGCTTCAGGACTGCCGTTAGTACAAATTTTAGGCTCGACAAAGACCAGTAGATAATGTTAATTTCAAATCCAGAAACTAAATATACTCTGTGCTTTTTATTACTCTTTTTTCTCTTAAGTTTTATCGGCTGCTTTTCATTTTAACAATATGTCTTTACATCCCGCCATCACAGTGCACTGTAATGATATTAATATTTTATAGAATCGGTATTTATAGTTCTTTATTTAGAGACAATGCAGTAGGTCTGCAGATATCAGAGCCCGTCTGGAATGGTGCCCTCCAAATAATGATGAATTGCTTGTGCGGAATGCCATTTGCTAATTATATCCATGATTTACTGTGGAGCAAGGCTTAAATCATTCATTTCAGTCTTGCGTAACAGTGCCATAGAATTTTTAGGTTTAAAAATGGTTTCCATGTGTATAATTTAAACAAATTCTAGCGCTCTTGTATACACAAAATATTCGAAGCCACTCATTTGTTACATACTCCGTCTCTTTAAACTTCTACTTTTAATGATCACTGTGGTCGAAATTATTATGCTTAATTTTCATAATCATAGCCTTTAAATCTACAGCCGTTCTCACATGTTAGATAAAGAAAAAGATAGCTAATTGTGTGTAGAGAGTGTGTCATCCCTCAATAGTCCCCAATGGTACAAAATCATTAAAAAAGCTTAAGAGCACAAATTATTCTTCTATTAAAAAACAGTCGTTCTCTAGCTAATTATTAGTTTGGGCTGCTTTGTTTCAAAGAACAAATGTTGATCCTTCTAGCCTTGTTCTGTACACCAGAAATGAGATAAACACTTGGTTTTTCTCTTCCATCGATATCTTGCAGGTGAGAAACCCTATAAGTGTCCTCACTGTGACTATGCTGGCACTCAGTCAGCATCCCTGAAGTATCACCTGGAACGACACCACCGGGAGCGGCAGAATGGAGCCGGGCCACTGTCAGGACAGCCCCAGAACCAAGAGCACAAAGATGAGACCTCCAGCAAAGCGCCTTTGTTTATCAGGCCAGACATCCTGCGAGGGGCTTTGAAGGGTCTCCCTGGAATCGACTTCCGAGGTGGTCCTGCCTCTCAGCAGTGGACATCAGGCATGCTCTCCTCTGGAGATCACCCAGGGCAGGCCACTGGCATGTCCTCAGAGCTGTCTTCAGATACCCTAAAAGGCTCCGACCTTCCTTCCAAAAGCTCCCACTTCTCAGAGATCGGAAGGGCTTATCAAAGCATTGTGAACAATGGGGTGAATTTCCAAGGGTCCCTGCAGGCATTCATGGACAGCTTTGTCCTCAGCTCTTTGAAGAAGAAGGACGCAAAAGACAAAGTCCCATCTGATGCCCATTCCATGAAAGTCCATGCTGCGGACAGTGGAGAGGAGAGGACCAGCGGGAAGCCCTCCCAGAGAAAGTCTGAGAAATCACAGTATGAGCCTCTGGACTTGTCTGTGCGGCCTGACGCTCCCACTCTTCCTGGCTCCTCCGTGACCATGCAAGACAGCATTGCGTGGCATGGCTGCTTGTTCTGTGCTTTTACCACATCGTCCATGGAGCTTATGGCCCTTCACCTCCAGGCCAATCACCTAGGCAAAGCAAAACGCAAAGATCACCCCACAGGGGTGACAGTCAACTGCAAAGATCAGGTGCGGGAGGCCAGCAAGGTCCCTGTCCTGCCCTCCATACAATCAAACAAAGAGATGGCCCTTTCTAGCACGGTCGGCGCGCTAGACTCTGCTCCTGAGAAGATGGCCCAAGGACCGGCCAAAGAGACTCTAGGGGACCAGAAGAGTGGTCAGTGGCCCAGCCACATGGACCCTACCTTTTGTACCTTTCCATCTGACTTCTACAAACAGTTTGGCGTTTACCCTACAATGATTGGCTCAGGGGCCCCTGGCTCCTGCTCCAACAAGAATCCTGATGGGAAAAGCCACCTGGAAGATGAAGCCCCTCTCCTGATCCCGGAAACCACAAATAAAAACACTACTGATGACCTCTCAGATATTGCTTCCTCCGAGGACATGGACTCCTCCAAGGGAGAAAACAATGAGGATGAGGAGATTGACACCGAACCAGAAATGATGAGCAAGCCACTGTCTGCTCTCAGCAAGGATGGCAGCAGTGAGGGCGGTGACAGCCTGCTGCCCCCAGGCGCTTCCCAGCCCATCCAGGGACTGGTCTCACCTTTAGCCCAAGCATCAGAGGAACAGTGGCATAACCCAGGCCTCCTTCCTGCCCAGGACCCCTCCACGGGGCTGCCAAAGCCGGAGCGGGGTCCCCCAGGGTTGGAGAAACCCATGAGCATGCTGTCGGTCCTCAGGGCCTACAGCGCCGATGGCTTAGCAGCCTTTAATGGGCTTGCAAGCAGCACAGCAAATTCTGGATGTATCAAGAGGCCAGACTTGTGTGGTAAGTTTTAGAATCCTCTTCCTTCAGTTCATTTCCCCAAAACATCATTGCTAAATTGTGCATTAAAACAACAACAACAACAAAATGGGGTTGATATACCCATTAGCAAACTTTAAACTGAACCTTAAAAAAATAAAAAGCCAGTGCTATATATACAGTGTAGACAATCACAAAAGTCAAATTTCATTGCTATTGGGGTCCAACTTTCTGTGTAATGCCTGTACAGAGGCATGGGAAGGAGACAGTACCAAAGTGTGAACTCTCCTCTCGTTTTTCATCCATAAGTTGAGGAGGGAAAGAAAATCACCTAAAACAACAAAGCAAACTGATGTGGTGACTTGCAAACTTCCCAGTATTTTAACTCATTGGAAAAAAAAAAAAGATGCCTAAAGAGAATCGTGTATTACTTTGTCAAGTCAGATCTACTTCCCTACGCTCATTTCATTGACTTAGAGGATACTAAAAACCATCACACTAACTGTGGCAAGGGATTGTCTTTCCGAATTAGGGCAATGGCTTCAGGATGGTTGTGACTCACCTGTATCATATCAAATGGCAGTTACTGTGACTTTGGCCTTCTGCTGTTGTTGCCTTCTGTCTGTGTCTGTCCGTCTAACCTGTCTGTCCATCGTCCTGTCTGATCTTGTGAATCAGCACCTCTCCCTCCTTCAAGGATATTGTTACCCCATAGTAGTCCCAGATTTTACAAAGCACAGTCCTAACCCTGAGTTGGATCAAATGAATATCGGGATGGGCAGGGAGGATCAACATCATGTCCTTGGCACCCAGGTGTTCATGTGTGGAAGTCTGGTCTACAACAAGCAGCTCAGTGTATTGTTCCCAGTGCCCTGAAATCCCACTATAGACAAGCAGCGTGGGCTGTACCATCTAATTTATGAATGAATTTCTGAGATTTTACCCTTCTTCTGTGGAAGGAAGGAAGAGAGGAAAAGAGGGAAGGGTGGGCACAAGGGAGCATTTCTAAACCTCAGCATCCTGTTTCCTTCAGCACAGAGCGGAAAACATGAAGCTAGGCTGTTTGTAATCTAAATCGATAAATTTCTTTTTGTTTTTCTGTCATTCCCTAATTCACTAAGAAGTGGATCAAGCAGTCAGAAATGCCTTTTTGAATTGTCAAAAATCACTAAATGGATTTATGACAGCTCAAAAAAATATTGATGGTTCCTTATACTGAATGATTCACATGGCCCCATTAGCCAGTACCCCGGATCTATTTTTAACCATGTGCAATTCATTACTCTTGAAGCTGTTAAAAACAATATTTAAAAGAAGGGAAGGGATTTATGTCTGTCCAGTATCCCCCCTTCCAAAGAGAATGGTGTTTAAATCTTTTTCTTTCATTGATTTTTTTAAAGTTTGGTTGCAGTGGCTTTATAATTATTATTATTGTTATTGTTGTTGTTTGAGGACTTTTTTTAAAGTCTATTTTCGGTTCTTTCAATTACCTACAGAGGACCATAGTTCCTGCCAGGAATCCACGCATCAGAAAAGATCAAAACCTGGCATGTGCATAAGCTCATTATTATTGAAATGAGCTCATATTACCCCCATTAATTTTCTCATCTTCCTATCAGTGTGGAAGAAAGGCTGCCTGCCTTGAGGAAGCCTGTCCAGTGGTGTCCTTGTACATGAGGCAGTAGGTGGAGGGGGCAACATGGGGAAGAGAGGTGCTGGGTCTCTTGAGGTTTTTCAGAGCTGGCAGGAGTTTCTAACCCCTCCCCAGATATCAGCTCACACCACTCCATAACATCTCCATGGTATATGCAAAACACTGTTCAGTCAGCTTGTTAGTCCCTAGGCAACAGCCCCTGGGATGTAAGCCATGGCCCCTCTCTTCTGAAGTACATGAAGACCTTTGGGCCAGCAAGGTAGGAAGGGTTCCCAGTAGCTTCCTCAGCCAAGGGTCTGGCTCCTCATACTCTAAAATACCAAACCTCATCCTGGTCATTGGCTGCCTATTTTCAGAGAGCATCACTTCTGTATTTCAATTGGCCCCATTTCTTCTAGAAGCTTCTGTTGTGATTTGGTAGCAGGTGGGATGTCTCTTCCTGTCTTCTGGTCCCCAGGCATTAGGCCCAGCATAATTAATTATACTCTAATATCCTTGCTGGGTGTGGTGGTGTCCTAGAACCCAGAAAAGCAGTAGTCATCCTGGCTAAGAATTGATCTTTCAGAGGGAAACAAATGCAGTTTTCCCTTACTCAGTCTAGTTTTCTCTTTTGCTTGAAACAGGCTGAATATTGTAAGCTCCAGACTACCACTAGCTTAAAAGCATGGGCCCTAAATTATCCCAACCTTCATTTTTTCTCTGCCCCACTTAAAGCAGATGTGACTTTGCAAACAGGTCTAGCCAGCCATCAGCCAGGCTTCCTCGTGGAGCTGGGCTTTGCCAAATCTATGCCTTATTCCCAGGTTTCTTATCTCAGAGTTTAGAGCCTCACTTCATTGATTCAGTAATTCTAGAATCCCACCTGGATGCCCCGGAAACTCTGGTGACTATGATTCAAGTTCTTCTGTATAAGGAAGAACTCGCCTCTCCTACAATGTAAAAGTATTTGAAAAGCAACCGGTAAAAACTTTGTCTGCATCATGTAGACCCCCCCCACCCCCCAAAATCAGGAATCCCTCTTGAACCCACCAGCAAATCAGAAAATGCGTCTTTTCTCCTGCACGTGTGTAGGACTGTGTGTTGAAAGTTGTTCACCCAGGTGATACATTAATTACTGCACTGTTGCTTCCTTACCTTTAGAACTTTGGTCCTAAATCCCGGGGTTTTAGATCTGAGGTCCTGGCCAGTGTGCATTCATCATCTATAGCTAATGCATTCTGACTTGGCTGCAGCAGAGCAAGCGGATGAAGAGGCTACTTCATCCTCTTGGGTGATGAGAGTCTCATAGCCAAGCCTGTATAGAGGGCAAGATGGTAACTTTTCAAAAGAACCTTCTAGGCTGGTATGTTGGGAACTTGTTTTAGAGGATCCTATGGGAGATCAGGAGTCATCTCAGAATCAGTTGGAGGGCAGTTTATTAAGTTGCTCTTAGAGAGGGTCAGATCCCACTGGTCTGATCTCTTTACATGACAACCTATTCTGGCCAAAACTTAGCTTTTGGAGGTGACTTTTAGGATCGAGGCATGTTCCACACTCCTTTATTCTGTTGTACAGTATAAAAAGGGCAAAGAAGTGCCACCCGAGAGCTTTGCTACATCCTTCATATCATTAGAGTGGATCTGACCTTGGCTTTGCAACGGGACAGGCTTTACAGCAGTATTTGAATAGGGGGGCAAGTGAGGACTAGAGCTGTGTCCACCCACTGGCAGGCAGGGCAGATAGGCTCCTTGTCCATCCTAAGGAGCTACTGTGGAGATGCTGCTGCAGGAGAGCGTGAGAAGCACAAGCATGGTATATACACAGAGAGTGCAGTCAGTCTACAGAGCACCTGGAGATCGCTACACAGAAACACTAAAGACCACATTTCACCCCAGGGCTGGTGTGTGTGTGGGGGACCAACTAGGGCACCCCTAAACTTCCCTTTTGAAACTGAGGCAACCTGCCAGAGCTGCCTGGAATTTCTGTGTTAGCTTTCTGAATCATGATTTTCTCTGTCTTTTTCTGAGTCCTTGAGTCTAGGACTGATAACACAAAAATCTTGTCAAGTTAAGGGGCAGGAAGGGAAAAAAAGCATAATTCCTTTACCCTCAGCTCTGCCCTGGAATTGCTACCACTCAAGGAGGCCCTGCTCCATGTGGAGGACACATCAGCATGTCGATTGTGGTGATGAGACCCTGTGTGCAGTATCTGTCAGGCCAAGTCATACCCTGATGGATGGGAGGAAGTCAGTGGGAAGGCTAGGCCATCAACAGGAATAGCTCCAGTATTCCCAATGCCTTATTCTCAGCGAATTCCAAAACTGCCTCAACTCAAATTGTGGAATGAAAGCCCACTGCATTTAGAAAGTATGAGAGAATGGGGACCTACCTCCCACACCAAAGCGGTGGCATCAAAACCTTGTTACGTCATGTGTTCTAAAATGTATGATGTGGTGTGATGAAACACAGTAACCAGACCAAATTATCTTAAAAAGTGACTTCTATCCCACCATGATTTCTCTGCATTGGCAGTCTGAAAACAACTACCATTTTATTCAGCTGTGCAGCCTAGAGCCGAAAGGTCACCACATATTGTTCAAAGGGCTGAGGGTAACTATTTCCAGCCTATAAGCCATGAACACCCTCTTATTTTGACTCCACTCTGCCTGATAGCACCAAAGAAGCTGTAGACAGTGTGCCTCTTTGCCAATGAAACTTTATGAATTAAAGCAAGGGACAGGCTGGAACTGGACAGGCTAGAATTTGTGGCCCCTGCTCTAGTGCAAAGAGGGATGTGTTCCTGGATCATTGCCAGAGTAAGAGATGGAGAAGCCTGCCCTCCGCTGTTCTGGTGAACAGAGAGATGATGCAGGCAGGACTCCCACCAGCCAATGCAGGGCTCCGTCTGCCAAGTAGACCTTCCATAGGAAGCCCTGTGTGTGTGTGTGTGTGTGTGTGTGTGTGTGTGTGTGTGTGTGTGTGTGTACTTCCAGAGCGGTACCCCTTCCCACCCTCTCATTACATTACAGGCAAAAGTGCTGGAATGGCTGTGATTCAGCTTTAGGACAGCTAGCTCTCCGCAGACAGAGTAGAGGGAGGAGTTAAGATGACAAACACCTAAGAGCCTGGGGCAGATGCCACCAGCACACACGTCCACTGAAGGTGCAGTGAAGAGGTGACGGTACATCCCAACGTCTTTAAGTTGCCCTTGTCCCTTTCACGCTAAGATGGCATCAGTGTGATGGAGAGTTTTGTTTCATGTCCCCCCACGCCACAGTCAGTGCACAGGAGGTTCATCTTTGTGATGTCACCAGCCCAGCCGTCACCGTTTCTGTTTTGACTCAGTTCAGTTCCAAACATAAAGCAGGTGCTTAGGGGGTAAGAAATGAGTC